GAATCGCCCCCTGAAGTTTTTCGCATTTGTTTTGAAACACCCTGTATATACAAGTTTTTAAATATGTACTTAAATTGTGTCTCCAAAAAAATCCTTTATGGGTATTTCGCCACTGCACTGCAAGAAAAATCTACAAAATAAAATAGTTATTTTTTCTAAATACTTCTGCGTTAAATCGAAATGGACACTGATTGTCAGAAGTTGTTTACAGTAATAAAAATTTGCCCAACAAAGAAAAAAATTCTTAACGTTTCGGAAAGTTTATCTCTTTCCGTCGTCGTTTTCTTTTAAATTGTGAAAAGATCCTTTGTTGATCTCTTTTGGGATATCACGAATGGTTTCTGTTTTCTGGTTGAAACCACTATAAATACGAAATTATTTAAGAAGAAAAGAAAAATTTTGAACCTAACCTGTGAGATGTGAACCTGTGTTTTGAGCCATTTCTGGCTCCAATTCAATCAGCAATCGACACGAAAGAGAATTAAAAAATATTCTAGACTCAAAACTGACAACTAAAGAGACAGCTTTATTTATTTGTCAAATTACATAGAAACCAACGCCAACCCAGCACAATATTTTTTCTACTCGTAACAAATTCCTTGAAATAATAATTTCTGAATATTTTTTCAAACGTAACTCGTTATGGAAAAAATATTGTTTTATACACGACGATAAAATACCATTTTATCGTCTTGTAAAAAATAACTATTATATTAAAACAGCATTATATGTCACTTTTTCAAGCATGTTCTTCAAATCCTCCGAAAATATGTTTCTAAAAGAGGTAAATTAATACCTGAAAAAACAAATAAAAACAATAAAGGTAATAAAGTACATTTACAAATAATAATCCCACTCCGGTAACCGTTTTAAGCTCTTTCAAACAAATTTTGCGGTTTAGTACTGTGTTACCGACGGGGCTGTACGCATAAAATTTTCAGGCAAATCGAAAATTTCCCGGAAAGTTTTAATTAACGGGTCCCGCTATGGCCGGGGGGGCAGTTAGAATAAATAAAAATTGAAGGGGGGGTGGTGGAAAACAGAGGAAAATTCGCAGGGAAATTTGATATTTCATTCACAGTGAAAAGTTATTTGTATATAGCTTGTTCTCTGTAATAAAACTTTGCAAAGCAGATAGATGTATTCAATTATAACGAAATTAAGAGTCTATTTCACTAGTCCAAAAAAGTGGCAAAATAAGCGTTCGGCATTTAACGTTTTATGTAAAACTGGCTAGGTATTTTTACCACAAATGAAAAAGGAAATTAATAATAAAGGATTATATTATATCCGTATTGTAGCAGATTTATAAACAACTTCTTTATTTTTAAGATTTTGATGGTCAAACACCAACAAAATATTCCTTATGTTTGGACTAAATTTTCTCGAAAATAAAGACATAATTTAAAATTCCGTTACAATACGAGTAGAGGGAGATGGCCGATTCTGCATCAGCCGCCCGGCGCAGGAAGTGACGTCATGTGACATGTGACGTCATGTGACATGTGACATCATCAACTAAGAACATGTAAAACAGGCTAATAAACAAGAACAAACAGGTTTAAACAAGAAACAACAGCTTTAAAACAAAAATAAACAGGTTTGAACAAAAAAAATGAATAGGCCTGTTGTTTTAAGCTAAAAAGCGGTTCAAAGCAGTTCAAAAGCGGTTGTTTCCTGTTTAAACCTGTTTGTTCTTGTTTATTAGCCTATTTTTTAGTTTATAATCATCTGCTGATGATGCTAACATGGTTAGCGAAACGCGCGTCCAGTGTAAAAGTAAAAGTGTTTTGGTGTATTGTGGTGATTTAGTGTTTTTATTATCCTAAAGATGTTGACTAGAATGCAAGTGTTTCTAGCTTGCACTTAAAAAAAATCAAGCTATAGGGAAAATTACAACGAATCGTTAATAAATAAACAAATCAAGTATCACGAGACGTAATTAAATCGTGAAGCTGAACGCATGTGAACTTTAAGTACTGACAGAGGTATTGATTGGGTCGACCGGTCAACTGCGACAAATCTGCTTATCCCCTTCCACGTCTCTTAGCGATGTGCACAGTTTCTCGGTTTATTTCCTACGTTTGGCAACGTGTTTACTGTCCTCTCTTTGTTCAGTACATTATAAACGCATTGTACTCTTCTTACATACGGAAATCTCGACCCAAGACTAACCTTTGCCAGCCCTTCAGCTTTGTCGACTGGCTGTTAAATGAATAAGCTGTGGTTCTTTCTAACCATTACGTGTAGTTTTTTTCTTTATAAATACCATTCGTGAGATATTCTGATTAAATTAAGAGACTTCGACTGTTCTCAGTTTAGCCTCTAGCCTAAATATACGCTTTTGATACTCAAAACACGCAATTTTTTTATAGACACAATAAATTTCTTAGAGCGACACGAAGGCATGAGAACTTTAGGATAGTTTTCGATTTATGTGACTGTTTTGATTAAGAAATAGATCCATTTGTATACAGGATGTCTATTAAGTTAGTGGGAGTATTTTAATTGATAGTATATTTCGACCCCAGAAAGAATGTTCTTTATCAACAATGTATAGATCTTAATAACTTGAAATTAATTAAACAAGTCTCAAATTACAGGCAATTAGATGCATATGAAAGCATCAGAATTAATAAATGTAAAGATAGTATGAACAGAGACAACGGTCCAATTCCTTCAAGTTCTTTGTTCCTACTACTCTAGTGGCGGAAATCTAACTGTTACGCTCGGTGGGGACTGACTCGGTTGGCTAGATCTTGCCACGCCCACTCTGTGCCCACTGAGCGAGTATATAAACGCTCCAATTGTAGATTGTATTTTAGTTTGTAATCATCTGCTGATGATGCTAACATGGTTAGCGAAACGCGCGTCCATCGTAAAAGTAAAAGTGTTTTGGTGTATTGTGGTGATTTAGTGTTTTATTTTGCTGTGTAACACCAAAGGTTCCAACCCTCAACTGTAATTAACTATAGTAATCAAGTTAGAGGTATAAAATACAATATGATAACACCGCCACTGGATATTAACAATACTATTTTAGTCAATAATTCCACTGCTTCTAGGAACAGAGACACAAAATTGAAAGTAGCACTGGCTAATAGTAAGAAGTTATGCGCCTGCGTAACGAAAAGATGCCACGATAAAGTTTCACCGTGTTATTAAAGGCATACCTAGTATAATAAAAATCCAATAAACCAAATTTTCGCAAAGTCTAGTGAAAGATTTAAACAGCATAATCTCTGAAAACGTGTAACCAAAATAACTTTCAAACCTTCTATCCTCAAAAAGAAAATGCAAAAAGATATATTTCCCGACATTTTCGCACTTAACATTTGGAAAACATCAAAGCTTTAGGTTCCAATGAGTTGGAAAATTCCCATTTCTCACCTCTTGAAGTAATTAATTTATGAAAAAGGATCAACAGGAAATAGCAAACAGCGCGAATATGCGAGGACCAAAATTATTCAAAACACATAAATAATATATTTTGAGAAAATGCTTATTTGCCAGCATGAGTGCCAAAAATGATACTTATTAATTTAAAATAATATAGTTTTAAGATAAAAAATAAATTTTAGAAATTAAAAAATGTGTTATTTGTTTTTTTTGTGATATTATTTTCCTATCTTTTTAAACTCTTTATATGTATAACTTTTATACATCATTTTCCACTCTTTCGCCAACTAGATTATTATCGGCTATTAGATTTTAACGTTTGAAGTGGCAAGATGTATTTTTTTGGAGGTCAGCTTCGAAAAAACATGTTTTTCTTGTGTTGAAGTTGCAAAACATTTATACTACAATTTATGTAGGGGTGGAGGTAGTTTCCTCTCATCTAATAATATTTCTGATTGTTTTGTGAAACTCAAATGTTAAAATGTGTGTTTTTTTAAAATTTAATGTCCTTTAACGGACAAACATGGCATTTTTGTATAGCTTAAGATGTCCACGGAATACTGAGACACTATGTATAAAGGAAAAACCACCTTTTCGCGTGCTATCACCCTCGGTTATATTTCCTACCCCTTTTTTCACTTTCATACCCTTCTCAAAGACCGACAAACTCGTGTCCGTGCCAAAATAGATTAAATATAAAGCGCGACGTTGTCAATTTTATCACTTTGTCCCCAAATTAAAGAAAATTTTTCAAACAGCATGTTTTTAAGCATTAAATATCATGCTGTTATTATTATGAACCATATACAAGATTTATGAGAAATTGAGACAAAAAAAATGCTAGAAACTAATAATTACACGAAAATTAATTTTTGACAAACTATTAAGTCGTTTTTTCAGGGCCAGCCCAAAAGAAATTATTCTAGTCTTCTATTGACATTTAAAAGGTTACTATGACACCGTTTTTTTTTATAAAAAAAAATAATCAACCGTATTTTAATGGAGATATCCAGAAATAATTAAAAAAAAATAATAAAAAACAATTATGTTTTTCTGCTTTAGATTTTTCATTTTATAATTTTTTCGCATTGGCAACATGGCCAATTTAATATATTAGTTCCTTTCAACCTCAAATAACCTTAAATACATTCAATCTCGTGCAAAACTTTAGTCACGTGTAATAGTGACAAAACTAAACCTATTATTTTAAAAATATGAATCAAAATAGATTCCTAACAAATACACAAATAAGTTCGTTACAAATTATTTCATAAACTGCAAAAAATAAAAATAAAGCTAGAGATAGAATAAAATTTAACGAATATTTGCAGTTTTCTGTTTACACGGTACAACAACGAAAAACAAGCAAATTATAACATTCAGCTTGTTAAACATATTTGTTTATTTTAATTAAGGTTTTTCTATATGTAAAATCTCTTTTACAAAGGAATACGTATACGTGCACAGCATCAATTTCAAATATTTTTATTTATTTTTTCTGCTTTCATAAAATAAAAGGCAACATCAGCAGTTTTTTGAAAAACGCCATAACTCAACAAGTAAAAAAAAATAAGAAAAAATAGAATATATTGTTAACTTACCTCTAGAAGAAAAGACTCGGTATTGTCAACGAGTCTTGAAGTGCTCAAAAACTGCAAAGAAAAAAAAAGAATTAATAATTAATTAGTGTATTTATAGAAAAAAATATGATAAATTAACATAAATAACCGTATATATGTATCTATTTTTTTCTAAAAACTGTCATACGACCAAAAAAAACGCCACTATAGTGACCTTTCAAGTGATAATCGATGTTAATTTCTATAGAGACAAATCCTTTAATATGTCGGTTATATAAAAAATTGGCATAAAATCTTGTGAAAAATTAATATTTAGATAAAAAAAAGCAAGAAAAAAAATCATACAATTTTTTTAAATAGTTCAATTTTCTCAAAGCCCTAAAATTGAAAGCGTTTCTATGGCTATATCATTTCTTTTTGACTCTTTGATAGATGATCATTATTAATTTTGATTAACGACATATTTTTTGCTGTTCAACATTCATAATCACCTTTTCCGTAACATTGAACTCAATAGCTTTTGTGATTTTTTAACATATTAAAACAGCAAAAAATTAAACAATAGTCAAAATTAATAATAACAATCTATCAAAGAATGAAAACGACATTAAAATAAAAAAAAAACATTCAGCTATAATTTCATATTTAGTTTATTTTTTTTTCTAAGTATAAACGGGATTAACCATTTAAAAATAAGTAAAAACTTCTGTGAAGAATGTATTTTTCTCAAAAAGTTTTTCCTTTTTTAAACACAAACTAATAGTTAAAAGAACTAAATTAAATTAAAAGAATTCTAACAACTATTCTAATAATATAAAAAAAATAACAAACTAGAAAAAAAAACACCAAAAATAAAGAACATATAAAAAAAACTATTTTATATTATTTTCCTTACAGTATCTACTACTATTCGAGATCAGTTCACACCACCTAGCTTCACCACAACCACTAGACAACTGACCAGTGTCCAAAAGGGACCATCACGCAGGAAATACCCGGCTGGACAGTCCTCACCACTCAAAAACCACCAACCACCGTGTCTGCCTACGTGTAGCCCATTGATTGTTTAGACCCTGGGGTTACCATGACGCTAAACTAAACGATACAAACAACTTCTAGTTCTGTATAGCTGCTGGATGTTTGTCCCACTTTGTTTTCCCTCTCCGTCTTGGAAAAAATCACCCCTTTTCACCCCCTGTGAACTGGGGTATATTGACAAGTTGTCCCTCCCCCCTTTACCCTCTATTTTTCAGGGAAATATAGAGAGGTGTAATATTTAGTGGAAGATGGTAAAAATGAGACATCAGTGATTTACATGACTTTATCTGCTTAGATCTTTATTATTTGATAAATCTAGGTGGCTGTCATATGTCTGACGTTATTTAAACATAACTGTCTAATTAGTCCAACTTTAACAAGTAGTTATCATTTTGTGTAAGTTAAAACAAAAAAAAAATTCTCAGAAATTGCAAAAAAAATGCAAACTTATCCTAAATCAGGAAAAATTGATATGATTCTATTAGTTGTTGGATGATTATTTGGATGTTTATTGTTGGATGGAATGCACTGTGTATTCACCAATTAATAGAATACTTACTAAATTCTCCTGATTTTATCTAGTCTGGGTTTTTTATGAGGATACGTTAAAGATAGTGTTTAAAAAACTCGACCAACTATTATCGACAAGAGAGAGAAATTATTGTAGCTGCTTTTCGAGGTAGAACTCCACATAAATGCCTTTTAAAATGAAAAGATCCTTTTGAAAAGACAATAACTTTATGCAGTTAACAGGAAAGGAAGCATTTTGAGCATTTGATTTCATGTAGCTAATTTTTGTCGCATAATTATAGGTTTATATCTAGTTTTAATTCTGTAATAATTAAAATATGTGTTAAACGTGTATCTTTTTATTACCATTGATTATTTTACTCTACAATCTTTAATTTTTGTTAAATTAACAAAAGGTATATCACACAGCCACCTAGATTTTTTCAAATAATAAAAAATATTTACTAACGCAAAATCATAAAAATTAAAATATCTAGGAAAATCTTTGTCTGAGGGGTAGGCCACCTTAATACTATTTTGAAGATATATAAATTCCCCATTGAACCCCGGAAAAATATACTGGGTGTTCCATTTAAAATAAAGGAGTAACTTGCTTTTAAAAGTGACTAATGTTCCATATTAATTTTGTCTCACCCTGTATAACTTTTCGGGTCAAATTTCAATTTGGTTTAACATACAATGGTTACTGTAATTAAATATCAGGCTATACAAGGTCAACTAAAATTTAGGTAGCTGTTTTCGAAATTTAAAATTTACTCTTCATTTTCACAAAATGTGAAATATGTCAAAATCCTTAGATTTTAGGCATATGCTTCTTTAATAAAACTCACCTTTATTTTTTTCAGAGAATCCGAAAATTAATTAATATATAGGGTGTTCCATTAGAAAAAACACAACTTCGATGTGTAACTTTTTTTGGGGACACCCTGTATAATTCTATGTATTTTTATAAAATGCTTTCAGTTAACCTACATAGGCTGCCAAAATTTCATTTCGATATAATCTACCGTTCTCCTTGGAACTTCCGCGGAGTATGAAAGGCGCCACCCTGTACATGTTTATGCACAAGCAGTCTGTCTAATCCTGACATACATCGCAGCTATGGGCGGTCACAAGCTACAGACACAAAAAGGGCTACAAATTACCAACAAACTGTTGAATTTGAGTAATTTTCGTATATAGAAACAGTGGACGTACGTTCAAATTCTATACACGACGAAAATATAGGTCAAATTTAATGGCCTTTCTTCATTTGCCCTAATGGATTAAATTATAAATTTCGACAGCAATTTTATAAATATAGATACAACGAAAATAATCTAGAAAGTCGTATATTTTTTCGTTCTAATCCAGAACTGAGTGACTCAATGTAATACAGGGTGGTTCTAGTTTTAAGAAACGATATTTTAAGATTTATTATTGGATTTTTTTTAGTTTTTAGTTAGATAACATAATTTCTTGATAATATGGCAACATAGGTGGTAGATTAAATTTACAAAAAAAGAAACCCCAGAAAAGAATTTAAGGATTTTTTTTATTTTTCAAAGTAAAATAACTTGGTTATTTTGGAATTATTTGAAAAAAGAGAAAATACGTTTCTTTTAACTTATTAAGGTAATTGTCAAAAATCACTAGTAACACTGACACCATAACACTCCTCAAAGTTAATTTATAAAAATTATTACACAATATTTAATAAAATTAATTTTGTCCACCCGGTATATGCGTGTTATTTTTAATCTCTCTCTAATAAATTGTCGGTATCCTGGAAGAATGACATACACTAAAACTGTGTGACCAAACTATTCTAAAAATATCAGGAACATGTTATTGGCAGATGCTTTTTTTCCTCATAGTTGTCACCTCATTTAAACATATTATTATCATAAATTATTTTGATTGTAACTATGTAATATGTTTAGAAGATTTATTGTAAATCCGAATAAAACACGATTAGGACCTCAAACATAATAAATTCAAATAAAATATTTAAGTTTTATACAGGGTGGCCCAGAAATAAGTGCAAGTGTTTTAACGGGTGGTAGATCTCGATAAAAAATAGTTATTTGTGGTATTAGTGTGTTATCTTACATATAAGTCACATAAAATAGTGGTGGGTTCAACTATACTACCAGTTATAATACTTGCACTTATTTCTGGGACACCTTGTATAACAAAAAAGTTAGCACAGTTCAACTTGATAAACTCTAATAAAATATTAAGTGTCCAATTTTATCGACGTTTTCTCGAAATAAAAAACAACCCCACGCAAACGTTTCGACTTATATTCTCTCCCTATCATTACGCAAACCCACTGCCTATAATCTAACTACTTCTATTCCCAACAAAATCGAACAGTCTTTAAATAATTGAGCAAGAATAAAAATATGCCTCGCTACTACACAACTTCTGTCAGAATCACACGCTATTCATTAAAAAATTAGAACAGTCTCCTCGAAGAAGCGGTAATTACAGACTTGCACGGTGGTGTGTGTAAGACCGTTCCTGGACATTTCTTGGGGAGTGGGGGGGTTAAAAAATTAAGGGTATCGTGGGGGATTAAATATTAAAAGTGTCTCGGGATAAATGCGCTATAGCTTATAACCCATAAATCGATATATAGACCGTCTGAATTATTGAGTGCGATTTCAAGGAAACGACCACATTGAAATAAACAGAAGAAAAGTTCTTTCTGTGGTGATTGGTTTCCAATAAATCGCTAATATGATTTTGCAAATTTTTCACCACAAAAACTTTATTAAGTAGGCCTTGTTTTTGTGAAATAACATGACATTGAGCCCTAAAGTACATTTTTTGAAACTTTATATTTGAAAAAAAAATCATCAAAATCGGACTATAAACACAGATTTTATGGAGGGTGCCCGGTCTTGAGTGGGTCACACTGTATGTATTTGAATTTCATTAATATTATTTCAAGTTCTTTGCATGAAAATATCGTACCAACGTTCTTTAGTCAATCAGGAGATTGATTTTTGTTCCGTTACAATGGCAACTAAATATACTAATAAGACGGATTCGGAAAACGAATATGCCTTTAGCAATCCTCCAGTCTAGAAAGTTTTTATATAGGCAGATATGTAATGATCCTTAGACTTTTGTGGTAGCAATCCAAGCAATCCAATTATTAATTTGGCCGCCTCTGCTATCTCAAAGATGATTGAATGTCTTAAAAGCATTAATGGTTATATTAAATGTACGTTCTAAAACACTCAATCTGTTTCATTGGTATAATCCAAGCTAAACATTAATCAGGAAACTCGTTACCTAACAATAAAAGCGATCGTAATTATCATTTAGCTCCCATTTCTGAATCAAATCTCGCGAATAAATGAGAATCACCCGATATCAGATGGCGGATGGAAATTAATATAAACGCAAATAAAATGCCAGATAAAATCGCGGTACACGCTGTGACAGCGGTATGCGCTGTACGAATAAGCCTTATTATTTAACGTTGACTAACGCTCTGTAGGTACCGGGTA